TACCATGTGGGGCCTCAGAGGTGCTCCCTTGTGTCAGGTGGCTTCGTGGCCTTGGGTCTTGCCAGCCCTGGACCTGGTCACCCTTCCTAATTTCCGCCTAGTGTCACTGACTCAGCCAGGTTATTTCAGCCCTGTGAATGAGTCTGAAACACGGGGCAGCATGGCCTGCTTCCTCAGCTGGCCCAGCGATGTGCGTCAGGGCTCCCAGCATTACACTGACCACCTGGCTTTGGAAAATGGCCAAAGCAAGTTACCCCACCTGGTCCAACCCCCAACTTCTGTCCCCAACAGTCCCGACTCCCCCTAGACAGCCCCTAACACTGCAAAGGAAACGTCCCAACAGCTTGCAAGACCAGGAGCTCCTTATGGGCAGAGACATGCCTAACTCTTCCTCTCTTCCTCTGTCTGGCACAGGGCCTGGCACACCCTGGGTTCCCAGCGAGGATTTGCTGAATTACATGGAGCATAGCTGCAAACACAGAATCCCATCTGTTCACTGATGGCTCACAGGCAATGCGGGAGAGCTTTCTGCGGTGCTGGTGGAGGTAAGTTCTTCTGTCTCTTTTTATCTCCCCGGGAAAGTCAAGAGTGGCTTCAAATCCACAGCCCTGGCAAAGCCAACTGTCCTTTGCAGCTGGTGCCAAAAGGAAAGTTAGAGCAAGACCCTTAAAGCAGGCACAGAATACATTTATGAAGGAAAGCAAACAAAGACCTGGAACTGAAGTGCTGGAGCCGACCTCACACTTTCGTTGCTCATTTCCTTTGCCTACAGCTGGGCAAGGGAAAGTAGTTCCATGAAAACTAAATTGTGCCCAGGGCTTTGGCTTGTCAGCCTCGATCAACATCTGAGGCAGATAGAGATTGCGTGCCGCCGGGAAGCCCACCAGAGTACCCTGCAGGAGGCTTTGAGGGTCTCCCAGAGGCCTGAGGATGATCTTACTTGAAAAGCATCTACTTTGCACTGGTCAATCCTTTCAAAGAATTAGACCCATTCCCTCACTTTTTTAAAAAAAGTGATGTGGCTCATTTAAACGAGGGATGGTTAAGAAGCCCTTCTTTTCTTCCTCTTGCTAATATTGAACCAGAGAGCCAAGAAGACTGTTATTTTGAAGTGTGCTGGGTCGGGCTCTCTACTGATTACATCCCTATTGATTCAAACAGTCACAAGTCTTTAGAATCACTTTTAGAGCGATGGCATGAGCTGGGCTGAAATGGAAATCAGCCTGAGATAACGAACACTCCGCTTAGAAGTCAGGATGGGCTGCGTCTTGCAGAGAAGGCCGTGAGCCTGGGAGTTAGCCCTCAGCTCAGTGGGGTTAGTGCTCGGTGGTAAGTCAGTGCCTGGACCCAGGGCCTTCAGCTCAAATGCTCACCTGCATCTGAGTCAATTCAACAAGTAACATGTGTTTTTTGGCTTTCATTTTCTTTAGGAAAGACTTTTAAGACAGCATAAGTAGATACCCTGGTGTTGTCTGTGGTTCCTTTTAGAGGCAAAGACCACTGAGTAGTTTAAGAGACGGTCTAAGATAGTCATTTCCACACACACAGGGTGGGCGCTCACTACGCCCCAAGGGCCAAAGCTGGCCACCTTATCGTTTTTATATGGCCCGTGGGCTCAGGAAAGTTTTTCCAATTTTAAATGGTTGAAAATAATAATCAAAAGAACAATAAAATGTCGTGACATGTGAAAATAATATGAATTAAATTTGCCTGAATTTTCAGTGTTCATAAAAGTTATTTTTGGAATGTGTTCATAGTCATTTGTTTAAGCAAAGTCTGTGGCTGGTTTCATGCTACAAGGAGGGGGGGAATACTTGCAACAGAGACCACATGGCTTGCAAACCCCTAAATATTCCCTTTCTGGCTCTTTACAGATAAAGCTTGCGGAGCGCTGCCATCCATGTTACGTACAGGAGAGGAGAAAGAACACTGCTCCCCACCAGGAGTCCGCTCCCTGGAGGGTCCCGGTGCTCAGGTACAGCCTTGCTACTTGCAGATATGTGGCCTATGCCTGCTGGACGGGGTTGAGTACATTCAGGAAAGTGATGGGGAAAAAGGTCTCACTGAAGTCACATGTTTGTTATGTAGATGAATTTGGGCTTTGGTCAGATTTATAGTCTTTGATTACACCTACTAGAATATATGTACTTTTAGCATTCTTTAAGACAGGTGGCCAGCTCCTTGCTTGCTTTACTCCACTAGGGCAATACATTCTGTGCTGGCCTTTTCTCTCTCAACCTCTTACCCTTCCTCCTCTTCCTCCCTGTCACCTGAACCATTGGACAGGTATCAGCCTATTTTCAAGCTTCAGAGAGCAGAACCTGACGGTGCACTTGGAAAGACAAGCAATGGGCTGGCCAAACCAGTCAGCAGTTCTTCCTGGGCTCAAAGCTGAATCTGCCACTGTTGACATTGGATGAGAGGTCACAGCGTGTCCAGGTCATCTGGGAGTTTGGTTCTAGGGTGCCAGCATATAGAGACTGGAAAATGCTGGGTTGACCATGACCTTTTCCACTTGTGGATAGAGTATCTGGGGAGGGCAAGCGGCATTACTCGCCACTCACCTGGATAATCCCTGACACTTCTGTTGCTTTTCCATAACCGCCCCTTCCTGTTCTCACCAGTGATGAGTAGGGTGCTGGGGACATGACAAATGGCCTTTGACCCAGCAGCACCATTTCTAGTGCCTCCTCTCTGAACTGGCGCAGTGTGACTTTTCTCAGCAGGTGTTGACGGAAAGGACTTGGATGACCTGTTGTTTCTCTGCATATAAGTCTAGTCCCTGACTCTGCTCCTAGCCAAGTGCTATGTTCCCTTGCTCCCTCCCCCAGAGATTTGACATGTCCCAGACCACTCACTCGGCCATGAATGAGTGACACAGCCACCCGGAGACGGGGGTAATGTGAGGACTACGCAGTCCTACAGGTTTTCTCCCTGTAGATGTGTGGACACAGCAGGGGAGAAAAGGCTATTTGGTTGGGAGAATTCACAGAGGTGTCTATTTCCAGTCAATGAATATAAAACCCCAAACTCCTGCCAGCGTTTTTCCCTAAGGGAAAAATAAGAGCGCTGGTTGAGTTTGTGGACGTGTCCCTCTTGTTCCTGTGACTTCTCTCCCTCCCTCTGCCTCTGCCTCTTGTATATTTCCATGCCCTTTAGTTTTACTCTGCCACCATCCAGTCCTCTGAGGCCCGGGGGCTTCTCTTATTCAGCTCCATTCCTTCCCACTGCTGCTGGGCGAGTGCTCAGCACATAGTAGGTCCTCAGCAATGCCAGTTAGCTGGGTAAAGATGAGCAGACGTAGAATCAGGGTGGTGGGCACTGGACCCGAAGTGGAAAGTGGGGAGTCCAGTCTAGTCTATCTCTCTGAATGACTCTAAGCAAGATGCTGGAATCTCTAAATCTCTGTTTACTCACAATGGAAATGTGCCTGACAGCAGAGGCCAGAATTATTGCGAGGCTCAGAGGAAGGAACAGATGCAAAAAGCACTTTAGGCGATGGAAAGGGCTGCATAAAGGATGTTTTCTGGGATCAGGGGTTGCAAAGGCTTACGGTGGGTCCTCACTGGGTGAAGGTCAGATGAGAGGACATTGACATAAGCTTCAGGAGCTCTGTTTCAATGGGGGGGGGGGATGTTAGAATGAACAGATTCTGAACTTTTGAATCTGAATGCCACTGTGACAAGGGACCTGCGCCTGTACCAAGCCAATATGGAGTGGGCTGGAGGAGACTGGGAGGACAGGGACAGATCACATATTCGAGGACAAAGCCCGAGACGTCCGAGCCTCGCGGACGTCCTCTAATGGCCCTAATTCTTGCCTGCTATTCTCTTGGCCACAAAAGATCCCAGACCAGTTACTATAGCAACAGTTTTCCCCACAAGGTGTCCATGTTAGGAGGGAGATGGAAGAGATTTCCTTATTTAAAAAAAAGAAATAAATTAGGTTTTCAGTTATATTTGCCCTCCACCCAAAGTGCTGCTCCTTTTTTTTTTTTAATGGAAAGAAGCAGCTGTTATAGCAAATGTTTCTAATTCCTAGCAGTTAAATTTTCAAACTTTTGCTTTAGACTTGATGCAGTTCACGCTTGTTCTAATACATCCAAGAGGAATGTGTTTTCCTAAGAGGCAAACCAGTGTGACATAGGGGATGAGGATCCTAAGACTGGTTGGCGAGAGCCTTGTCCACCTGGGGCTGCCCTGTCTCCCAGATCCGTGTCCACCATGAAGCCCAATGGTGGTGCCCCGTCAGCCCTTCCTTCTGATCCCTGGCTGCAGGCTTTTCACAGACGTCGGCCTGTGTGGAATGCTTCCTGGATCCCATGGTTTCATGGGGTGGGAGCCCCCAGCAGGGAAGTCATGTGGGTCTCAGCGGCTGCCCAGGCAGGCAGACTCAGAGAGCATTGTCTGGGACCAGGCCTGCGGTGGCCCAGGTTTTGGACTTTGCACATACGCTCATATGGTCTCAGAAAGGTCAAAGGGAAAGGCTCTGCAAACTGGGGAGCGTGTGTGCGTGCATGAGTGTGGAGCCTCTCCCTGTGAATTTAGTTCCCGCCTCAGCAAGGACTTCCCTTTAAAGTGCTGAGGACCAAGATCTCAGGTGTGTGAAGTCCAACCACCCTGCCTGAAGGAAGAGTCAGGTAAGGAGAACCCGCTGGTCTGTGTGGAGAGACAACTGAGTTTGGTGCACACAGTGAGTTGGAACCCCAGGGTCTGGGGACACGGAGCCCAGGGAGGTGACTGCAGAGAAGAGCAAAGGCAGAACTCTGCAGACCGGCTGACAGGACCCGGGAGTCAGGGGCAGGAGCAGTGGGCGTGGCAGGACAGTCCACCCCGAAGTCCCCACTGAGGATGAGGCTGGGCTTCCTGGAACCAGCCCAGGGCTGGGGCACGGGAGTGCCCACGCATGAAGGGCGGGTTCTAGGAGGCTGGGGAAGGCCTGCCCAGAGTGTCATTGAAATTGGAGGCGACAGTGATAGACTCACATACATTAGCTGTGGCTTACAAAAGGGACAGTGGGCGGGCACAGAAGGAGGGGCGCTAGTAGGGGAGGGTGGAGTCATCCCACTCCAGCTGGGCTTGCCTGGCTCCGCTCTGCCCTTGTCTGCCCCTGCCCACCCCTCCCTCCACCTCCTCCTCGTCGCTGGCATCTGAGTCGCTGCTGCTGGAGCTGATGTCTTCTTCCACTTCCTCCTCCGTCTCATCTTCCCTGTGTCCTGGTGCTTCGTGTTTCTGGGAGTTGGGAAGAGAGGGAAATGCTGGTCAGGGGCTGCAGAGAGGCCACATGTAGGGCCCCTTGGCATCCCTTCCGCTTAATGCTGACCCGTGGGCCTGGAAGGGAGGTCCTCTGGTGAAAGGTAGAGCAGAGGGCCGAGGACACAGACAAGAAAGAGCAGCTAATTCCAGGCCATGAAGTCAAGGTGAGGCGTGTGTTTTAGACTCTGGACATTTAAGCCAGTTCCACACGTCACTTTGTGAGGCTTTCAGGCCCACGTCTGTTTTCTGGCATTACTGGGCCTGTTGATATGAGCTGGCCAAGTCCTCAGCGTCTGCTTCTCAGTGAGAGGATGGCGGTTCAGCTTGTCCTTCTTTCTCAGGTAGGAATGTAATGTCTCCAGGAGCAGGAGGTCACCTGAGCCAAGACTCAGGTGTATTGGCCTTCAAAAGTGTTCCTCTGGGAGGGACAAAGTTCACGGTCCTCAATTTTCATGTTTGCCCCTCACCCTCTGAGTCCCTAGTCCAGTGATGGCGAACCTATGACACGCGTGTCAGAGGTGACACGTGAACTCATTTTTTTGGTTGATTTTTCTTTGTTAAATGGCATTTAAATATATAAAATAAATATCAAAAATATAAGTCTTTGTTTTACTATGGTTGCAAATATCAAAAAAAATTTTATATGTGACACGGCACCAGAGTTAAGTTAGGGTTTTTCAAAATGCTGACACGTCGAGCTCAAAAGGTTCGCCATCACTGCCCTAGTCCCATCTCTGCTGCCCCCAGTTTTTGTGATTCTAGCCAAGTCTTTCTGGATTTATGCTTTGATGAACCGGCCGTAAAAGACATGTGCCCCTCCTTGGCCACATCCCATCTCTGGAGTGTCTTCACTTCCACCATTGCCTCCCCCAAATCCTACCCATTCTTCAAGGCCTCCCTTAAGCTAGCCTCCTCCAAGAAGTCTTCCCTGAACCTCCAGCCCCCTCGGCTCTCGTTACTCAGGCTTCACTGACTGCTGGCATCACCAGGTTAGCCGTGGGAAGGCACATGCTGGTTTGGTACTGAGACTGATCCACGATTGGTGGCTATTTCCCACACCTCGGGCTCAGCTCTTCCGGGGTGGAGATGCTGGCATCTCCACAGTGGCGGTTCAGCATGACCCACTGCACGCGCTGAGCCACATCGACTGGGAGGCTTTAAAATCAGAGAATAAGGCCAGTTGAGGGGGACACTGAGGATGAGGCTTGGATAACCTTTTCATGCCTCAGTGGCTCCCTGCTTTGTTCCTCTTGGCTCTATCTCCACTCAGTACCCATGGGCAGACTAACGGGCAAGATGCCATGGCTTCCCTTGATACTCATACACCCAGAGCAGAGGCTTTGGACATTCATGGATGGGTTCTGGGGTCTGCTGGCTAACTGGCAAGATCTGAATGTTAGAATCCGGCAACCTGGAGTCTGAAGATGGCACCGCCATTGCCAGCTCTGGGGGTGTGAGCACTTCCCGCTCTGAGTCGGTTTGCGCCTTGGCAGATGAGGGTGATGACTCCGACTTCACAGGTGGCTAGAAGATTGAATGAGATGCGCATAGAGAGCACGCTGTGCAGTGTCTGGCATAATGGGGGGCTCGATAAATGGCAGCTATTAATGTTGTATTTCTGTTTTAACCTATTCTGAGCCTTTAAATGAGCTCTGCAGGCAGCATGGAGCAAAGCCATTTAATTTGCACTGTTAATTAATCAAAAATTCAATACTGAGTCCCTAAGTGTTAGCTCCCAGCTAAATCTAACGGGGGTGGCAACCGATAGACACCACATGGCTGCTCGCCTTCAGAAATGTCTGGTTCTGCTTGCAGGGTGAGAGCAATTCACACGTTTTTAACCAGTGAGTGCAGTTGATGGGAAAGGATGGTCCGTTCAGGTTGAGAGGCTGGGTAAGACGGGGCAGGGCTTCTGGCACAAGAAAGCTAAAGGGTGGAGGGGAAGCATCCTAGTGAAGCTCCCGCCCTGGTGTGAGGATTACCTCCATGGGGTTGACTGTGATAGTGAGCGCAGAGTCGTCCCAGTCCATCTCGACCTCCTTGGCAGCCTCGGTCTCCTGGGTGAAGTGCTGGTGGGCGACCCGGACCCGGTGCACGCCCATGGCCACCACGAACACTAGCATGCACACGGAGATGATGACGACCACCGTGGCAATGCTCGGGACCACTGGAATGAGGAAGGAATCCGCTCGCTCTAGGTCACCATGGAGCCTGAGTGAAACACCCATGCAGAGGCTAAAATCTGCCCTCCCCCTTTCCAGCTGTAGAACTCGGGGTCAGCACCTTTCTCTGTCTGGGCTTCCCATTCGTCATCCAAATGATGGGCTTAATAATTCCTATCCCAGGGGTAGTTGTGAGGAGCAAATGAAATGATCTATGTGCACTTCCACATAGGCACATGGTAGGCACTCAATAAATGCAAGTTCGTTTCTATCTCTTGCTTTCCCCCTCAAAGTATAGGACAGCGCTCACTGAGAGCCAGGTACTATGGAGTTTAGCAGGAACAATACAGGAGTAATACAATATGGCAAGTGCTGGGACAGAGTACAGGTAGGGGACTTTGCAGTGTGGTGCACATGTGTATGTATGTGAGCATATGTAAGGGGTTCAAGGAAAGCCTCATACAGGATGTGGCTTTGAGTTGGACCTAAAAGGACTTGCAGAGCCAAGATGTTGGCGTAGGTAAATGCCTGTTCTCACCACCTCCTACACCACATCAAAATTACAACTAACAGAGACAGAAGCATCGATGAGACCGTGGTTCTCAACCTTGGCTGCACATTAGAATCACCCGGGAATCTTTTTAAAATTCTGATTTCTGGGCCTCATCCTCCGGAAATTCTGTTTCTTTGTTACTAATTGTTGTGGCTTCACCCCATAACAAAAGAAACAGAATTTCTCGGAGGATGAGGCCCAGAAATCAGGATTTTAAAAAGATTCCCGGGTGATTCTAATGTGCAGCCAAGGTTGGGAACCACTGGATCAGACCATCAAACCTCAGAGGGAAGGTAGGGGAGGGTGGGGATAAGGGGGAGAGATCAACCAAGGACTTATATGCAAGTATAAAGGCCTAGCCAATGGACACAGACAACAGGGGGTGGGGGGTAATGTGGGGATAAGGACACATATGTAATAACTTAATAAAGAAATTTTAAAAAATTACAACTAAAATACAGAACAATCATTCAGAACCATCTGAAAGCTGGCTGAATGGAAATACTACAACTAGAGAAGTAAAGAAGAAAGCACGTTGAGACTGGTAGGAGGGGCGGAGAGGAAGATCAACTCTGTGGAGGCCGCCTGTGAGGAGCAAGGGGTCCCAGCACCACACCAGCCCACCAGCCCAGGGTCTCAGAGCTGGGAAGAGAAGTCCTTAAAACTACGGGCTGTAAAAACCAGCAGGGATTTGGGCTCAGTGACACAGAGGCTGCTGAAGACCCAGCTGTTCCTTTTAAAGGCCGATGCAGGAATGTACTTGGACTCATGCCCTCTGAGCTCTAGCACTGGGCTCTGGGGGACCCAGATACATACGAGGAGGAACTGGATAGTCTGGCATCGGGGCAGGAACTCGGGGCGGCTTTCTCCAGACAGGGGTGCTCACAGGGGTCTTTGTTCCTGTGCTGGGACCTCTCTGGTCCCAGAGCTGACTGTCAGCCATATCTGAGTCTCCATCAGCTTGGCCCACACTGGGAATTCCCAGGAACCCCACTCCACCCAATTTGCAGCCACACCCAAGCTGTTTGCAGCAGCTTTTCCATAAGAATGGCCTGTCCTGGCTCAGGCTTCAGACTTTGCTAAAATCTCTCAAGCTGCAGCTGGTGACAGTGTGCCCCAAACCTATCAATCAAGACCCGGCACTAGCACCAGCCTGCCTTCCTTCACAGCTGGGCCTCGCCTGGGCACCTCCAAGCCCAATACAAATAGCAAATAGCAGTTGTCAGAAAATCCCTCTGTAGCTTTTGCTGGGGGGCCCCAGGCAGTGGCTGACTTTGCACCACCCTGGAGGCCCTAGAACCAGTGTACCCAGTGGACAGCTTCAGACTATAGCATATTACAACTCTACACATCCATAAGCAACACACTCAAGAGGCAGACTCAATGAGCACCAAAGCCCCACTGAAGCAAGTCCTGCTCCATAGGGGTGTTTCCTGCATAGCAGCTCTCCTACTATAGTCGCAGCTGGTCCTCACAGCCAATTAGCCTGGAGGTCAACTCCTCCCAGTGATGCCAACAGCAATCAAGGCTCAACTACAAGACTGTGCACACAGCTCACACAGGGGTGTACCTAGAGTGCCCAGCTCAGGTGACTGGGGAGACTGAGCCACTGAGCCCTTCAGGACACCTCTACACAAGGGCAGAAGGGAGTGGCAAGAAATATTCAACGTAATGAACAGCAAGGACCTACTACCAAGATTACCCAGCAAAGCTCTCATTTAGAATAGAGGGTCAGATAAAGAGCTTCATAAACAAAAAGCTAAAGGAGTTCATCACCACCAAACCAGTATTATATGACACGTTTAAGGGTATTCTTTAAGAAGAGGAAGAAGAAGAGATTTAAAAAAATATGAACAAAATGGCAACAAATACATGGCTATTAACAATTGAATCTAAAACGAACACGTAATTTAATGAACAAAATAAACTGGCGAATAAAATAGAATCAGAGGCCTGGAACAGACTGACAAATCTCAGAGGGAAGGGGAGGGAGGTTGGGGCAGGATCCTACCTATGGACACAGACAGTAGGTGGTGAAGGCCTGGGGTAGGGCGGAAACCGGGTGGAGGGGGGGCAATGAGAAAAAGGGGGACACCTGTAATACTCTCAATAATAAAGATTAAAAAATAAAAGGATTTGCAAAATTTTACCCCAGCCCTTGGTACTAACCCCTGTTATTACATATTGTCTGTAACTTGTTTACCTGACCGGTTCCCTTTGGAGGCTGTGTGAGTGCCTCAGAGCCAGGGTCCACAGCTTCCCCATTATCGGGTCCCTTCCTCAGGTCTGGGCACCCAGGCTGCTGCACCCTAAATGTCTTTTTAGTGGATGGTCTTGAGTTACCTGTTGTCCTGAGGTCTCTCCTGCCAGGTGACGTACCTGAACTGCGCTGGACGCTAGTCTGGGCCTCGGGGTGGTGGACGGACTGGAGGAAGGGAGGCTGCACGATGAGGTGGTTGACGTGCTCATTGTCTGAGACTCTGACCTCATGGAGGAGGCTGACCTGGGCGAGGAGGGAGAGGGGCTGTTGACCAGTGGCAGGTGGGCCAGTGGCCGCAGTCCTCCCGAATACATGAGGGAAAGAACGGATGAGCCTGGGCTTCCCTTACCACCGCAGGGCGCACTCACCTCCAAGTTGAACTCGTTGCTGGTATAGCGCCCGTTGAGTTCTGAGCATTTGATCCTGAACCGCCGGGACTCGAGCGAAGCCGGACGCCAGTTGCGGTAGCGGATGTGACGTAGCACCTGCTCATAGCGGCTCATGGAGCCCACACCTGCCAAGAGACCACACCTGTCTCCAACAGGCAGAGGAGGAGACGGGGAGACAGGCTGCAGCTTCTGGGGCTGGTCCGTCTCCTGAATTTGGCCAGGCCGAGAGCTTGAGGTGTTTAGAGCAGAAAACGTATTGAAGCAAAAGTTCTAAGGAGCTAATGAAACGGACCCACAGGATTTCCACAGATAGTGGGCTCTGACCACAATGTGTGGCCGCAACTTGTCCAAATGTTGCTATAATATCTGTTTCTACAGGAGATTCTCCCAATAGTGGGGATGTGGTCCAGGTTCTCAAGATGCTGGAGTAGCTCACAAAGGAAGGGCCAGAAGCCCATGCTCTGCGGTCAAGGGCCCCCACCTGACACCATCATGGGGATGGAGTGCCTCCCTGGACCAGGCCACTGTAGGAGGAGACCACGAGGAGAAGGGGCTGGGCCTGCTTACCGTAGATGGAGTAGCCTGCAGTGGAGTTGGTGGCGTCGAGGTGGCGCTGGTGGAGCTCACTGTGGTTAAGCTCCAGGCACTCCTGTCTTGGGTCCAAGTCCCCTCCCAGCACCAAAATGTCACAGAAATCTAAGTTGTGAAGCATTTCTTCTAAGACTGCTGATTTGGGGGCTGCGGGGAGACCAACACCAGGGAAACAGGCGTGAGGACCACTCAGACCACGGAGGAAGATTAGGCATCGTCTCCTTCCTCTGTGACTGCACTCCAGGTGAGGGCTGGGTCAGAAGAGGCTGTGTAGCCCTAGGTACCACCTCCACTGCCGGGATGGAAGTCCAGCAGCTCCTGAGGTTGGGCAGCATGAGTTTGTGTGTAGACAGGAATACAGTAGTCAAGATGTGAATTTGAATACCAGTGCTGCGACTGAGAGGCTGTGAAGTGTTGGAGAAATACCTGCCCCTCAATTCCCTCACCTGTAAAGAGGGCAAGGATCTTGAGAGGGTTGAAACAGTGTCTGGCACATAGTAGGTGCTCAATAAGCAACAGCTCTCATTTGAGGCCAGAGTGAAGCACCCCTCCCCACTCGCTCATGCAGCTTTCTCCAGGCGGTTGTGGTGTGTATCTGTTGCCCCCAGTAGACTGAGGTCCTCAGGGGCAGAAGCACTTTTTATGATGAGCCCTCAGTACCCAGCTTTCTCCAGGCGGTCGTGGTGTGTATCTGTTGCCCTCTGAGGTCCTCAGGGGCAGAAGCACTTTTTATGACGAGCCCTCAGTCCCCAGCCCAGGCCCGGGCATGGAGCAGCATTGCTACACATGGCTCGAATGGAGCGAAACTGTTACTGTGGTTAAATGCTTAGGTAAATTGGCCCTGATTGATTATTTTGGGCCCTAAATTTCCCAAGGGTGTGTCTGAGCATTTGAATGCTGGGCAGGCTGGCAGTACTAACTTAAAACCTCACCTTGAAATGAAAGTGATTGGAATGTATGGAGTGATGGCTACATACCAGGCACTATGCAAATGAAATCCTAACAGACATTGGAGGGGGTGCTGTTGTTATTCCATGTTACTGATGGGAAATGGAAAGTTCTGAGGGGTAGAGTGCATTACATAGGATCACACAGATAGTAGGGGAGGAGCTGGACAGAAACCATGACTTTCTGACTCCACAGTTGGTAAACCAGGGGTCCTCAAACTACGGCCCGCGGGCCACATGCAAATACAAATATTGTATTTGTTTCCGTTTTGTTTTTTTACTTCAAAATAAGGTATGTGCAGTGTGCATAGGAATTTGTTCATAGTTTTTTTTTTTTAAACTATAGTCCTGCCCTCCCAACAGTCTGAGGGACAGTGAACTAGCCCCCTGTTTAAAAAGTTTGAGGACCCCTGTGGTAAACTCTTCACCTCTGGGCCAGTAGTCTCAAATGTTTTGGATCTTGCAGCTTGTTCATGGAAATGTGTGAACTGAGATCATTGAAATAAGTGTACTTATTTATTTATGAAGACTAATATACTTTGTGCATTATAAAACATTTATAAAAATAGAAATTAAAAAGGATTCACTAAAGATGAGAGAATTACGTTAAATAAGTATTTTTTTTTGTGATATCAAAAGTATCTTTCCCTCTCCCTAGATAGCTGTTATTAAAAGCACTTTCAGATGCTTAATTTTTAAATGCTTGCCAATCTCAATGGCTTCACGTATCATCAGCAAAATCTAAAAGCACATTAATATACACGTAAGCCAGGCCAGTGTGGCTCAGAGGTTGAGCATTGACCTATGAACCAGGAGGTTATGGTTCGAGTCCCGGTCAGGGCACATATCTGGGTTGTGGGCTTGATCCCCAATGTGGGGAGTGCAGGAGGCAGCCAATCGATGATTCTCTCTCATCATTGATGTTTCTATCTCTCTCTCTCCCTCTCCCTTCCTCTCTGAAAAAATAAAAATATATTAAAAACAAACAAAATATACATTTAAGACAAGGTCTATCATTAGCAGTGTTGCCTGTGTATCTCTATTTCAAATGGTCTTCTCCTGGTTTCCGGGCTTTTTCTGCCAGCTTCCCATCAGGTTGGGTTAGGCCAGGGCATCCTTGCTCCACCTCCCCATGTGGCTGACTGATGGCTCACCCTGGGTAGGGGGCCATTTTCTCACTGTTCCCTTGTGCTTGCATGTGGGTAGTATGTTCCATCTGCACTTTCCTTGATTCCCACTGTGCTGAAGAGACTGTGTGGGCTCAGGGACTCGGAGCTGAATCAGCCATGGCCGAGCCCTCGTGGAGCTCCTGGGGGCGTTTAGTAAACACATGGCAAAAGTTGTGTGCTAGAGGTTTCCTTAAACCAGCATCGCCAACCTTTCAGAACAGCGGCTGGCGACAGCCGTGCTAGAGTGCAGCACTGGTGGGTGGGGGTACAGAGCAGGAGACCTGGCCCAAGCTGGGGTCGGGGTGGTGGTGGAGGAGGCCTTCTGGAGGGGGTGTTGGAGGCCGAGATGTTTGCCAGCCATAACGAGGATGGCGCGAGAGGAACCTTCCAGGCAGAGGGCAGAGAAAGAGCAAACAGGAACTGACACGGAAATGTGTGTGTGAGAGAGGGGGGCCGCACAAGGGGAGGAAACAGGACAGAGAGTGGGTCAATGGGGGCAGTGGATGCTAGAGTGGGTCTTTCAGGCCTAGTGGCAAATGCCATTAGCCTGCTTGTATAAGGCATCATGATAATGACTATTCTAACAATAGGAGTAAATTTTTAAAAGTACGAATATAGGTCTCTGGCACTTGGCCCTGTGCTCTGCATGCTTCTCTCATAAACAGAAGGTAAGACAGGGACCCAGACAATTGCATTCCCCTGCCTTGCCCATGTGTCGCTATCAGGCCTAGCAAATCCAGCCGCTCTCAGGCACTCAGTGATGGTCGGAGACCACTGAGGTCAGAGGCCCTTTTCTGTCTGATTTTAGGCACAAATAAGATGAAGGGGGAAGGTCACTGACTTAATGCACCTTGGAGTGTAACTAGGGAACTGCCCTGCCTGACAGGCGGTAAAACTCCACCTGTTTTGTAAGCTAAGAAGGCTGCTTTGTGAACCCCCACCGCCCCATTGGCTAGGGGCCGGGGTGGCTTAAGGCAACAGGTAATGAGGATTACTGCAGAAGCAGCCCCTGGGGACTTGGGCCCACTGGCACCCAAACATCATTAGCAGCTGCCTTTGGAGAGGGAGGGGGCAGCAAAGGACAATTTTCAAAGGGGTGTTTCCTGTAGATCTGAACCCCAGATCTCCCTCCCTCCCTCCCTTCCTCCCCCTCCTCTGTCTTTTCCCTGCCTCCCTCCACCTCCCTCTAGCCAACAGCATATCCTGTAGCTGTTTTGCAACTAAGTGTTTCTCCCTGGAAGATAATGCCAATTACCTACTTTCACCAAACAGCCCTTCCAATAATGAAACGGTTGGAAGGAGCAACTGGGAAGTTTCCTGAGAGCTCAGCTCAGAGTAATATTGCCAACAAGTCTTTTGCTTGTATATATTAGGAGGCAGTTATGTGTTTTTCTCTGTGCTTCTTTCACTTTTCCTCTGATCATCAAAATAATCGCACTCGCTACAGAACATTCTGCAGTTGCCGACAATTGAAGGGGAGCAGAACCCCCCCGGCCCCCAGGCTTCTCCGAGCATGTCACTGTTAGTTTAAGGCGTGTTTCCCTTTGGGCACTTTCCTGTGTTACGTTTTCCTTTATGTGGTTGAGATCAGTCTATGCATAGATACTCTGTAATTTGCATCTTGTTTTTTGTCACTTACCATTTAGCATAAATGCCTTTCCTCCAACAACACAGCACGTATGTGGAGGTAGATGACTTGCTGAGCCATTCATTCCCCTCCTGTATTTATCTGTGTTGTTGCCGGGTGGGGTTGCTTGTTTTGCTATTGTAACTACCTTGCTATGGGGTGCCATACTGTTGTCCTGAAGTGAGATTTGATGTGGCTGTGAGAGCTTAAGGCCCACTGCCCACAACCCAGGATGCACCGGTACCTGTGGGCTTCAAGTCACCTGGGGCCTCGGCTTTGGCGAAGGTGCTCACGATCTTGATGTCAGGGAAGAGGGTCACGCCTCGGGCACTTTGGAATTGGGCGGCGGGTCTCCAGAGGCGGTCCGTGCCGTGGAGGGTGATCTGGGGCTCCATGGCCTGCAGCACCATCACGTAGGCGTCCATGTCGGGGATGCTGATGCACACGTCCTCTCCAAAGCACCTGGGAAGCACATGAGGGAACCACCCATCATGCATCCATGGGCAGGGATGCAGACACCTCCTCCCGCCCCCCTCTCCCCATCCCCCCCGCCAAGACATCCTGATTGCCTGCAAGGCTCCAGGATGGCAGCAGACATTTAAGTTTAAAGAAGCATTATAGTCAAAACGACTAGCAATCTAGGGACTTAATAAGATTGGCTCCTGGGAGAAATGGGAATCTTCTATCCCAGCAACAAGTAACCATGAAACCTTTAATTATCCTTTAACAAAGTAATCAATGGCAGCATTAATTAGATAGCAACTGCTTGTCTTGTGCATTAGAGTTGGTAAGCAAATTGTTGTCTGACTGGTTGGTTACAGCCATCTTATTGAGACCGCAGGGCTACACTCTCCTGCCACCGCCCGTCTGTGATCTCTGAGGATATCACACAAGCGCACCTGCTCCAGGTGTGCCAGCGGAGCGCCCCTGTAACCACGTGTATTTCCCCTGATACACACAGAATACCCAGGGGGCAGAATGGTGTGGTGACAGGAGCAAAGGCCGGGAAATTAGACAAGGGTCCCTGGCCTGGCTGCCACTCCTGGGCTGGGTGACTCTGAGCACAGTGCTCAACCCCTGGGAACCTCAGCTTCTGCATCTATAGAATGGGAATGATGTTAGAATAATCCACTGTTCTTCACCTATAGAACAATTAATTACTTATAACAGGAAGGATGAAATGTGACAACTTATAGTGAGAAGCGGACCAGAGCCTGCATCATGGTTGGAGCTCAGTCAGACAGACTTGATGCCCTCCTGAGACCTGGTCAGGTGCGCGTGCCTTTGGCATCTCAGCTGGGCATCTCGGCCAAGCCCGAGGCTACAGTGGGGAGCCCAGGTGGACGCTCTGGGAATACTGGGCGGGCTCCAGCTGTGGCAGCCATCATCCGCCTCCCCTGGAAAGCCCCCGAGGAAAGGGTAAGCTGGGGGGATCCCATGTCGAGCTCCCGTCTTCTTCTCTGGGTGCATGAAGTGTGGGAATGGTGATGGGTTCCTGGTCCCAGTTTTCTTTGGCCTTTGCTGCTCCAAACCCCAGTTCATAGAGGACACCCCTCCCCTTGCCAGTTTAAGGAAACTTGGTTCTAGAGCTGGATACTGGCCAGTCTGGTCCCTCTTCACGGTAAGGTGAGGCTGACTTGGAGGTGCCCGGTCCCTACCCCAGGCCTCCAGGGAGGGCCTTTGGAGAGGATGCGGGAGCCCGTCCATCCATGGGACTATTGAACATAATTGCTGTCTGTGGGCTTTATCCTGGCACCTCTCCCAGACCCGAGCAACGGGCAATCAGCAAACCCCATTTCCCACCCTTGCTCCTGTCTTTCTGGGTCCCTCTCCCGGCTCCAGGTACCAGGAGATTCCCTTCCACCTCCCAGGAATTTTTCTGGGGTGCCCTTTCTAGCCGTCTGTGGCAGCTACTGTGGCTAAGAGTGATTGACAGGTGAGTAAGGGAGTTATCCACAGGCTTCAGTAACAGTCTCATCTTAAATTACCTCCGCTCCCTGGGGACAAGAGCGTGCCTTCTCTTCCTCTCGCACACTCATGCTATTAGGAGTGCTTCAAGGCTGGGCTCCTTAATTTAATGAATATACATTGGTCAAGCACCTACTACGTACCACATGCTGTACCCTTAAATGACACCACTTCTGAGAATTTATAGAAAAACAGTGCCTGCCAGGCATCTGAGTTGGCAAAACAGAATATTTTCTTTAGGAAGAAAACAGGAGAATAAAGATCTACTGGGGCCTCCTCAGAGGGATGGCAGAGAAGCTGGGGACGGCTGAGAGAGGTGAGCCCTGTTTTGCAGGGGGACCATCCCACTGCCTCAGTGGGGCCCAGGCCGCTGGCCTCCACTCACTGGACTTTGGATGAGACTTTGAGGCGCCGCACACCCGCGGTGGGGAACTGCCTGGAGTTGATGTAGGAGACCTTCTGCAGGGCGCGGTTGATGTTCCCGATGTCGTCACCTTCCATCACCAGGACGGACTGCGAGGGGTTGAAGTGATACTGGAAAACAGGAGAGAATGACCACAGTGTGCCCAGTCCCACGGAGACTCCGTCTCCATGAAGAGGCCACGGAGGCCAGCGCAGGCATCTCCAAAGTGTCTGCCTGTGCAGCAGCTGTGTGCACAGGCGACTGTTCTAACCCTCGAGCCACTCTAGGAACTGCTATTAATAAGATGTCAGGATCGTATCTGTGGGTTCAGATTATGTTTCCAATGCTCGTGTGATAGGAAAGAAGGACATGAATATGTTTTTATGTACCTACCTGGAAACAGTTATTTATTATTTGAATAGATAATATATCCACCTGGTTCAAATGGACGTATGTGCTAAGTGAAAGTGTCCATCTTATGTCTATCTCCTATCCACCATCTTCTCCAAGCTCATCCCACAGGTAATCACGGTTATACTAATTTCTTAGCGACAAATCCCATTGTTCATAAAGAGTTGCCCCCCTTCCTGGCGAGAGGCTTATCCATGCCTGACCTATTGTCAACAGGCTTGATCATGTGACTTACAGCCCCCTTCCCTGCTGGATATATATTTTCTGCCCTGTTGCACTCAGTAGTGGTCAAGTGACTTTCTTGGCCACCAAAATGTGGGCAGAGGGTTGTCTAGTTGATACCCAGGTGGGAGATTTAATAGCCAGTTCATGGTTTACTGTGTCATGTTCCCTCTGCCAGGAAACCCCAACAGTTCCCTCAGGGGCTGGTCCATTAGCCTGGGTCTCACAGGGAGGGTGCTATGAATCAGAGCTACAGCCCATCCATAATGGACATGCGGTGTGAACAATAAAAAAATAGTTGTTACATAAGCCACCGAAAAATCATAAGTCATTTGTTACTGCAGCATAACCTAGCCTATCCTGACAAATTATTCTTATGAATATATAATCAATGAATATTGATTTCCATTATTCTCTTTTCTTAAGAGTAACTACATACTATGCATAATACTATACCTTTGCTTTTTTTCATCTAGGTTATGTCTTGGAACTCTTTCTGTAAGCTTTCTTATTCTTTTATACGGCTGTATAGTATTTTTTAATATCAATAAATTAGTTATTAACCATTCTCCTTATATGACATTTGGGTTGTTTTTTAATTTTTCTCTAATAATGCCACAATGAATAGCCTTGTACACATAACATTTTATAAATGTGTAAATATATCTGTAGAGTTATTCCCTACAAATGAAATTGCTAGATCAAGGAGTATATGCATTTAAATTTTGACAAATGTTGCCAAATCCCCCCTGGCTAGGGATTACAGCAATATGCACGCCCTCTCGCAGTGTGTGAGAACGCCTCTTTTCTCAAAGCCTCAACAACAGAGCATGCTGTCAGACTTTGGGACTTCTGCCAATCTGGTAGGTGATATACATACCATCTTAGTGTAGTTTAAGTTTGCATTTCTCTTACCATGAAGGAGACTGAGTATGTTTCCTGGGCCTAAGGAAAAATCTATCCATTTGAGCTTTTCTCTGAGAATACTTGTATGTCTTTATAAGAGTTCCTTGTTCTGTGCCTGGCCATGATGGGAGGTAGATGTCTCATGAACACTATGGTGACACTGATGCACGTCCCTTGCGTTGTGGCCCCTACCCATCTGACAGCTTCAACTCTGTCTCCATCACCTGCATGCGAACGTTTCACCGTTCCCTCCTGAGGCTGTCTCGTCTTCCCTCATCCAGGTCCCCAGGAGGCTCCGACAGTGCTTGTGACGTAGTAGCATAATTATCCTAGTGCAGTGACCGTGAGCTCAGCGAGCCTTAGCCCTGAATCCCAGAACCTAGGCCTAGTGCCCTGTAAGCCCCTGCTGGGTGAATGGGTGAGCGGTCCCCTCCAGCCTACATTTTACTGAGTATCACCTCTTGTTACTCCCCAAAGGGACTCTTTTTGCAGTCACGTGTCTTTTCAGTCAAGCCTCCGTGGGAGTCATCAAATCCTGTTCTTCCCTTCCAGGGCATCCTGCACTTCCCAGCTCCCCTTTGCCACTTGAAGGCAAGGCCATGTGACTGCATCTGGCCAACGAGATGCAAGAGAAAGTGAAGCGGCAGCTCTGGTAAAACGCCCTGCAGGGCACTCCAGCCTTTTTCTTTCTCTGCTCTGGTGGCCTATGGCGTTCTAGGCAGAAATCCCTCCTCTCCCCACCCCCAACTTAGTGTGAGAAAAATAAACGTTTAAGCATGAAGCCATAGAGATTTTGGAGTCATTTGCTATTGCGGTGACTTAGCCCATTGGAGGAACTGGGCCCTTCCAGGCATGACTGGAACTTCCCCAAGGCTGTGTGGTATCCCTGGAAGATGATGGGTTGTGTGGATGGCCATCCCCCAGTTCTGGTACAAACTACAGACGGATTACAACTTGGGAGTACACTTCTCCTTTCTGGACTTCATTTCCTTATTAAAATAGAGAGGATATTAGCATCTACCTGCCTGGGGCTTAAATGCGATAATGCATATTAAGTGTCAATTTGTGGTAGCTTTTGTCATAATTCTTAATATTGTAATTATGTTTGCACTAAGTCTTGCCTGTGCTGCTTCCCGTGCCTTTGCTGCCCACCTTTCCTCACGCTCCAGGTCCCTCCTGTCCTGAAAGCCCTGAGCAGGGTCTCTCTGCGCTATGACATCTGGTCACGAGCAGCACTCCCTGTGCTGGACGCAGAGTCCCCTGGCCTAGAGCAGGTGACGCTGCAGTCAGCCTCCGGCCGGCTTCTCTCTCGCCCGGGATGATTCACTGGCCGCCATGCACTGATGAGTCATGATACAGTAGTTCTGAGTGTTCACAAATCACCAGGTTCAGATTTGAGCAGATTCAAGGTCATTCTTCTAAAGATACTACTTATGTTCCCAGCGGTTTTTCTGCCCTATCACATCCCTGCTATAGGAGAGTAGAGTTGCCGTCTGTCTGTCTCTCTGCTGCTGCCCCTGGCAGACTGTGAGCACCTGGAGGGTCGGGTCTACTGACTTTTCTCAGCATCATCACAGGGGCTAGCCCATCGAAGCATGAAGCAAGGGGATGACCCTGCCTAGAAGGCCAATCTCTGAGCCTCGCATCCGGGCTGAACAGGCAATACAGCTCTTCCCCAGGACGGATCAGCAGTTCCCCGGGAAGTCAGCAGAGGGCACATTCCTACTGCAACCACCTCGGGAGGACGGGTCAGGGAACGTGTTGGATCTCCAGGTAACACTCTCATCAGAGCATTCCAAGGACTACCACAGCCTTTGACATAGTTCTTGTGGGATCACTAAGGCCTTCTACTGAATAGGTGTTTGTTTTGTTTTGTTTTTTGAACTGCAATGTTCACAGCCCTGTGGCATGACTGAGGTTGGTCTCTAGTTGTGTGGGACATAGGGTGATATTGGTATTACCAGAGGGATGGCTTTTTGGGGACCCAGCGTTCACTCTGCCCTGAGAAGCTGTGTGGTAGCCACAGTGATTCCTTCTTTAAGCCAAGAAGCTGCTGGACAGAGGGGCTTTGCAGAGTGGTCAGCTCTGAGGGTTGGCCTGTGTCACCAGCCATTAACAGGCTGGAACAGGGGTGAAATTCCTGTTCAAAGCTCTGACCTATTCTTTGAGGACAGGCCGGCCATGGCAGTCTAGGCATCTTGCCATTATTCCCTTGGACACCTGCCAGCCTCTTGGGCTGGGCCAGAAGATTGGCCTCTGCGACAACTGTCACCCAGGCTTACTTTTCAAAAGACGTGCAAGCCCAGCCCAGCTGGAGAAGGAAACTGGTTTTTTGAGAGCCTATTTATTAGGTTTGCTAGGGGAGATCTATATACCTATGTCTATGCCTATGCCTATGTCTATGTATCTATATCTATATGTCTATATATACCTATATATCTGTATCATCTATAATCTATATACCTATATCTATATCTACATCTATATTTATCAGCTATATCTATATTATCTATATCAATATCTATATATCTATGTCTATATCTATATATATCAACTATATCTATATTATCTATATTTCTACATCTCTTTCTATAGCTATAAATACATCTATATAATCTATATTTATATCTATTTCTATAGTTATAACTATATGTCTATATCTGTATTTATAGCTACACCTTTGCTATATCTAATGTATAAAGATATGCATAAAATTCAATTCTTACAACATCTCTGCAAAATATTAAGTCCATTTTTAGATGAGGGAAATGAGGCTTATGGGATAGAAGCACCTTGCCCAAGGTCACCAGCTAGTAAATGTCCACACTGTGATCTGAACCACGGACTGTCTTGCTCCAAAGTCCCTGCTCTGTCCCACTCTTCCACACTGTGCAGATGACAGCCACAGGGATGATGCCATGGAGATCAGAGCGGGGCTTTCTTCAGGAAGGTGGCTACCCCACAGGGTTTTGTGTGGATACAAGACAGCAGCCACCCAGACACTTAATGACTCCAGACACGCTGGAGAGAGATTCGGAAATGTGCATGATCCGGGGAAAATCAGTGAAAAAGAGAAACCCAACTGGGCCCTGTGAGCCGACAGGAAGTTTCCTTAATCCCAGGAGGACTTCACTTCTTTCAAACAGCCAGAGAGGAGGCAGGGGGCCAGGAGAGAAAATAATAGCCACTATTCAGCAACAAAATGAGGGATAAATGGAGGCAGGCAGGCAGGCAGTTTTAATAATTTTAAGAATGCCTTCTAATCCGAGTTGGGACAAGTCCCTGAGCCCCACTCTCCTTATTTCTGAAATGGGGTCATACTATTTAATTTGCTGTGAGGAGTAGGGATAATGAACTTAGGAGGGCCCCAGTGGGTGCCCTGTAAATCGTGCGCCTGTCATTGACTTCTCACACGGCGCTCCGGTTCTTGCGAGCGGTGCCCCAAGGGTGTAAAATGATCCTTTGCACTGACTGGCTATGAGCAGGTGGTACCCTGAAAAGTCAGACTAGCCTCCCCCACAGGATGATCTGGCAAAGAGGAGACCCACCCAGGGACCAGGAGCAAACACAGAATCTGATAGAGCAGGAAGGGTTGGTGGAGGGATTTCTGCATCGCTGGTCTGACAACACAGAGGAAACAGCACAAACCACAAACGGCAGGTCTAGGATCAAACCCCAGGCTCTGCTTGTGAGGATGTGTGTGTGACATGTGCCGTGAGGGGCTGGCCTGGACCAGCTGCCATAAAACACTGCCGTTCTACCAGGACAGTGATGGCGAACCTTTTGAGCTCGGCGTGTCAGCATTTTGAAAAACTCTAACTTAACTCTGGTGCCGTGTCACATATAGAAATTTTTTGATATTTGCAACCATAGTAAAACAAAGATTTATATTTTTGATATTTATTTTATATATTTAAATGCCATTTAACAAAGAAAAATCAACCAAAAAAATGAGTTCGCGTGTCACCTCTGACACGCGTGTCATACGTTCGCCATCACTGCACTAGGAGTTAGTCTTCTGAGTTTCCTTCCATGGTGGTGATTAGCTACTGAAGTGTGTGTGTGTGTGTGTGTGTGTGTGTGTGTGTGTGTGTGTTTAGTGCATGTTAAGGCCCTGGAAAGCCATTCTTGCCTTACCCTGCGTGTGTTCTACCATCACCCCGCTCTGACCCAGTCTCCAGGTGAGCATCCTAAACCCCACATGGGCCCAGATCATGCTCCCTTGCCCGGAGTACTTCATGGCTGCCTGTGGCCGACAGAAAAAAAGTAAACACCTAAACATAGTTAACACGGCTCCCTGCCGTGGCCTCTGTCGACCTCTCTGGTCACACTTTCTACCTTGGTCCTGCAATTTGGGCACTTGAACATTGGCCCCGGAGTCCCAGCGTGTATTGCGGGTTCCTGAGCCCTCTGCCATGACTCAGGCTCTTGGCTCTGGCTAGAGTGACCACTCTGTCTTCTCCCCCTCCTCTACCCCCTGCCTTTTTCCTGGTTGGTTCCTACCCATCCAAAAACTTTTTATTTTTAAAAATACCTTCCTGCATGCTGTTTCAGTTCCGGTAGGGGAGTAAGCAACCAACCAACCAACAAGCAGGTAAAAGATAATGACTCCCTGTGGAATAGCCACCTTCCTGAAGAAGCCCTGCTCTCATTTCCATAGCACAGTCACTGCCTCCTCCAAGGAGCCTTCCCTGACTGCCATTCCCCAGGTTCTGGAGCTCTGAAGGAGGATTGAGTTTCCTGAAGACAAAAAGCTAGGAACATTCCTTTTTGTGCCTCTCTACGCAGCCGAGAACCAAATACATGGGCGTCCATGGAATGTTTGCTGACTCGACCTCCACTTAGACAAAAGCACGATGTGCTCAGCTCACGAGCCCTTCTGGAGCCACCCATCAGGGCTGCACAGGCCCCACGCAGCGCCAGTCAGAGGGCTCTCCGCTCCTGGGCTGCCTCCCAGCCCGGAGAAGCGGGCCCAGGGCTGGAGGGCAACGGAGCTCCACGGGGGCTGGGGTCCCTGGTGATGGAGTGAGGGCTACCAGGATGTTTATCCTGCTCTTTGCTCAGGACCCCAGAGCCTTCCTGCAGGCAGGGGCTCCTGCGATCCAGGGGAGGCCAGAGCCATGCCTGCCTGTCAGGCAGGTGTTTGCTGAGGCAGAGTCAGCCACATCTGTCCTCTCCCCTCCCCACCCCTCCCCTCCCCTCCCGAGGAGCTTAGCTCAGAATGCAGCTTTGATTCTTTTGGATTATTCAGATGTTTGTATTTTACACACATGATCAAAATCCCGAGTCCGTTTACATTCCCTTTGATGGCCAGAGATTGCTTGAGGCTCAATCTATGCCTCAGCTCAACAATGAAGACCCAGCGACCTCCACATCTGCTTTCTAATTCTAGCCCGCCGGGTCTGACCTTCCTTTCTGATGTACACCATATATGGTCCAAACTTTTTATCTTTAAAATATCTTCCTGCACGCTGCTTCGGCTCCTTTAGGGGAATAAACAACCAACCAACGAACAGGTGAAACATACTGAGTCCCTCCAGGTAGACCCTGAACGTGAGCCTGACTATCCACCCACAGGGGCTTTCTCTAGGAACTTCAGGAGATGGCAGCAGTGTCCATTCGGAGTCACAGTCACCAATCTCCCCCCTGTGGCAGCACCTTTTCTTGATGTGGCTCTGTGCCACTGGACAGGAAAGGACTCCATTTCCCAGAGTGCACTGGCCCTGGGCAGCCTCCTGCTCATACACCTGATTGGGGGTGATGCTGGCTCCTTCCTTACCTTTATTCCTTGGCCGAGGCTCTCCAGGGAATTGATATCCAGCCCTTCCTTGCAGGCCTGCAGGCAGGAAATCACCTTCTGACTCTCCATCTTTCCAGGGCGGATGGTGAGACTAGCCAGGCTGCCGTGGAAGAACTGGGCAAACCGCGGTTTGGTGACTTCTCCTCCTGGAAGAGAAAGAAGCGCTGTTGTTTCTGTGGGGATGGGGGACGAAACACCACTTCAAGGCACCGCCTGGCTCTGGAGCCAAGAGCACAGTGACTGTGTCCCTTACACCTGAACTTCTCCTCCCAGGTGGTGAGCTTGGCGGCCGGGTTCTCAACAAGAGGATGTAATAGGCCGCCAATGCCGTGACACTCCCAGCTGCGCCTGGTTTAGGAAGCCTGGAATCTGTGAATTTTAAAATAGTTCCTTTCAGAGACACACACTGTCTGAGAAGACAGGAGGGAAGAGGAAGCTGCCGTTGATTAAAAGTCTGCTGTGCGCCGGGCTGTGTGCAAGGGACTTCACCTGAGTAAGCCTACAAAGATGGGATCGTTGTTTCCAGCTGACACCTGAAGAGGCTCTGACTCAGAAAGGTTGAGGGACTTGCCCCAGGACACACAGCTAAACGCTGGAGCTGGTACTCTCGTCCTTTCCTGTCTGGCTCCAAAGCTGGTATTTGCTCCCCTACGTTCCACTAAGAAGTGGACAGGGACTGAGGAATCCCAGAAAGCCCACACCCATGGGCGCTGGCTCTCTTGAAATGAGTTGACTTCACATCAGCTCAAAGTCAGGTTCTTTGGCTTATATGGACGTCCTTGATTCGGATCTACTTCCGACTTTCTTCTTCTGTTCTCTACTGACTGAGCCGAGTCCTGTCTGAGCTGGGGTCCACTTCTCAGCACATGAAATTGTCCAATGTGGCTTATGTTGCAAAGCCAGCCTGGAAGTTACCTCGTATTTTCTCCATGGTTTTCCAAATCACTCCCCACCTCCCCAAGGTCTATTTGTGGGGGGAGGGCGGTTAGGGAGTTTCCTTTTTGTTTCTTTTCTTTTTTTTGCTTTGCGTTTAGGATGCTCTGATCTGAAATTTGACAAAGTGCTAAATGCTCTTGTTAACTTCCAGCAAATGGGACAGGGAAAATATAGCAGTTCTTGGTAAAAGTCCTTTATAATAATGGTATGATTTTTTTATTTTGAGAGATTTTTTCCCCCCATTGTATGCTTCCCCCCCCCCCTTTTTGCCCAGTTTCCTTACCACTTGCTGTAGATGGCTTATTTTGCATAATGCAGACTATGTTGCAAGTCTGTTTCATCTAGTAAACTGAAAATTATTGCTTAAAAAAATCACAGTCCACTGGGAGGCCTTCCCCACTGACTTCACGGAGCTCAGACCGCTTCCGTCTCTGGGCAACCTACTCCAACACACTGAACCTTGATCTTGCTCAGTCCACATGGCCATGGCTTGAGGTAGCCAATTTGGGGCCTTCTATTTTGGGCTCTCAAAGCCCCCATGGATAATCTGCCCCTCCAAGTCCTTAGCACACTCCTGCCCCAGCAAAAGGGCACTTCTGTTGACCTGCAGGAAGAAGGTGTGAGCTTGGTATGAACAGCCAAGCTGCCATTACCAGGGCATCCAGATGGTCATCTCCCAACTGGGTGTGGACTATGTTTCTAACACCTGTGAAGCCCTCAACATACATTCTATTATTGAACCTTCATCAGACTCTTGGGAGGTGGGTACTATTCTATAGTTACAGGTGAGCAAATTCAGGCTTAGAGAGGAGGAACAAGTGACTCAAGGCCACAAAAGTAGGAAGTGATGAAGTATGTGCCTCACAGTGTGAATATATCCATCCAGGGAGGCCTCCTGGCGGCACTGGCCAGCCCGGTCCAGTGAGGCTCAGAGAGCCCATTCAGCAGCTCCATCCTTAAAGACCAAACTCTGCAACTCTTTTGAATGCAAAGACATTTTCCTACGCATATTTTTCTCTCAGCAAAGCATCCACGTTCTATATTTTTGACTCAGAAATCCCAGATCTCTGATGTACTCTATTTATCAGTGATGTAGCTCCAGGAAATCAATTCAATTAGCATTTTGCAATAGGAGGCCAGCATAAAATTTGAAATATATTTGCACTCAGGGGTTGTTGTGAGGCAGGACTTTAAAATATAATGGATACACTGAAAATCTCTTTCTTTTTACTATCTAGCCCAGAGTGACTGCAGACACCACATGGCTCCTCTGTTAATATTTAGATATAAACATACTCATGAATTATCTTAAGGAAAAAAAAAACCAACCTGATTTCTAACACACAGGACCTTCGCTCAGTCTTTGGGAACATGATGTTGGGTTCCTGAGGCTAGATCTGCACACAGTTAAAAGCGTTTGCTGTATGCCTACTCTTCTGTTAGATTTGGTTAATTGTAAGACGTGGACCATGCTCTCCAGGAGCTTAGATTTAGTTGGGAGAATAAAAGGTAGAAACTGGGACAATATAAAAGAGCAAATTGCCAATACAATAGATGGTTCAAGGCTGAGCGTGATTAATTTTCAAAAAAGTGATGTAGATAATGTGGCCAACAGATCACAGGGGGAAAAAATAATAGCCATCATTTATGAGGTCCTTAAAACATGGTGAGTCCCTTCATATGCTATTTTGTTTAATCCTTAAGCAGTAAGATAGTATGTTTGAGATCTTAGCCTCTATTCTTTTAATTTCTCCCCTCTGCCTCCCTCTCTGGCTTCTGCTCATCGCCACAGGGAGGGCTTTGACAGGGAGATGGGTATGGATCAACATTTGGGGAAAAATAGAGGAAGAAACTTTGGATTCCCCCAGACAAGGAAGTGATTCCCCAGGCAGGGGTGTGTGGGGGAGGTTAGACCACAGAGATGCAGAGGAGGGCACCTGAGCCTGACACGGGGCTGAGCGCCGACAGGGATGTGTGATGTTGGGAGGGGACGCTGGTCTGGGCATCAGGACGGAGGAACAGATGGTCTCACAGAGAGAGCATGAGGAGCAGTGGAGATAGTGCTATGCCTCTAAGTAAGGCAAGGAGACCCCGAGAAAGCTGCCAGTCCTGAAGCACCATTAGTGACTGAGGACCAGAGAGGTGAGCACCCCTTGGAGGTCCCCTCAACACCCAAACATCATATAAATCCCCCTGAAACCATCTGGCACCCTAAGGAAGCGGCAGGACCCTAAATCTGCGAAGGTTAAGTCTCCTACTCAGATGGAATAGGAACTTGAAACGAGCCTAAGATAGATATGAAAAAACAGCAACAACTAATTTTTTTCCTTTGTGAATCCAGATTCTTCCCTGTTTCACTTACAACTCCTTTGACATGATGCTTTCAAAGTTAGGCTACTTGTCCAAGGCCATACAGCCAGGAATTAGTGAAGCCCAGATTCAAATTCAGGCCTTGCGTAAGCTCCCAAGCCTTTGACCTGCACGCCACACCATGAGATGTGGCCGGGAGGGCTCCAGCAGGATTTCTTGGAGGTGTCATGATTGGGCTGCTTCGGAAAGATGGGGACAGGCTGGGACTGACAGCTGCGGGGGAATGGCCAGTTATACTGGGCTTGTGGACAATGAATGAGTTCAGCAGCAACTCCCAACGGCGTGTGCCAGGTCTGCTGGGAAAAACCGCAGCCTTTGGCGAGTGTGATCTGACACAGCCAGTGCTCTTCGGAGCCAGAGTTTGCACTGGGAATGGGTCCCCCTCGGCTTTCTTTCAAGCGAGAGGTGGGGCCCACCCACTCTAAAAAGGGCGTTTGAATCATTCATGTTCCCTTTCCTTTAAGGGTGAGTCAAGGATCAATGCATACGAGCGTCCTTGGTCGCCTCCCTTTGCAGAGTGTGGGCCGGTGCGGCTGGCCTTTCCTTTCCTGCTGTCATCCCATAGCTAGTTAGTCAGACACACCCGGGAAGGGCTGGGGGCCACGCTCCCTCTTGCTCCAGTCGGATGCTGCTCTGTGCGTGGCTGGTTGGTGGGGACGCCTCTCCATGAACACAATTTCATGGCTGGCTGGGTATCAATTTTGAGCAATGCAAATGGTGAGGCCATCTGAAATCTTGCTCTCTCTCATTTCCTCATTTCAGCGATAGAGACGTCCACAGAAACGCAAAGGCCAAGTGAAGTGTGTAATAGACCCCTATGTGCTGCAGCTTAAACACTGTCCACACGACCCCAGGGGGTGGCACTGTAGGTCCCGGGCAACTTGTGGAGACCGATGATCTGCCATCATGGCTGGCCAAGACACATTCTCAGTAGGCCTTCCCAACCCTATGTGTTTACGTATCCATCTCTCTAACCTTTCCAGCAAACATTTATATAGCATGTTCTAAGTACATAAAACAAACAGCTCAGGAATGACCTCGACTGTCAGCTCCCTGTGGACCTACATTCATGTGGGAATGAATGGAAGGGCCCTTATATGTCACCAGTAAATCTCCTCCATTCTCCAGATGAAGAACTGAGGAGCACAGCGGCAAGACACCGTTTTCAAAGACCCAGAGCAGATAAAACACCAGCAGCAGCGAGGATTCAGAATCCTCCTCTTCAGACGCCAAACTCCCCTTCCTGAGGTCTGGTGTGCATTCCCAGGTCCCTTTCTGCCAGACACTAAAATGAGTGCAGACACGTGAAGTACATGCCTTCATTTAATCAGCTTGGTCTAATGTAGTACAAGTTATCTTAATAAAGTCTGCGTTGAAATTATTCTCCATCCCTAGGGTCTGAGCTCTGCAAGGAGGAGGCACGTGCTAAACCATGGGGCCTGACAGGCCTGTGCCTGCCTTCAGCCCTCAGCTTGACTTCGTATGCTCTGTGGGAAAAAATGCCCAGAAAGTTGGGGCAATTGATTCACCCCCAGGTTCCGGAACCCTCTGCCTTCCTTCCTTGGCTGTGAAACACCATCTGGCTTCACATGACCCTAGAAGCAGAGGTGGGGTCGCAGCATAAGGAAGGCTGGGGACTGTGGTGGCACAGACCTGGGTGCAAATGCAGACTCTGCGACCCTTGCCAAGGGTCTAAGTCTCAGTTTTCCCATCAGCAAGATGGGAATTGTAATCATACCCACGCCGCCTGGTGTTAAAGGAAAAGGTGCAAAGAAGTCAGCACAGAGCAGGAGCTCAAAGGGCAGCTAGTTCCAGTGGCATGAAGAGCCAAGGAACTCCT